ACTCAATTTGTTGAGGGGTCTGAGATGTCTGGGAAGGTTTTTTACTTCAAAATTGGTGAAGTGTGATGTTAGACCTTTGACCCTTTAATCTAGACCGATGTACTATGATGTCTAAATGAGTTGAGTTGTTCATGAGATGTCTTGCACACAATCTTTCTAGATACTTCAAACGTGAGATCAAGTGAGATCTTTGAACCTGACGCATGCACACACAGATGGAGACTAGAGGCATAGAGCCTGTGAGATTGTATTGGTGGTGATAGTGTGATGGTCTGGGGTGGTATTGGTGGTAATAGTGTGATGGTCTGGGGTGGTATTGGTGGTGATAGTGTGATGGTCTAGGGTGGTGTTTGTGGTGATAGTGTGATGGTTTGGGGTGGTATTGGTGGTGATAGTGTGATAGTCTGGGGTGGTATTGGTGGTGATAGTGTGATGGTCTAGGGTGGTATTGGTGGTGATAGTGTGATGGTCTAGGGTGGTGTTTGTGGTGATAGTGTGATGGTTTGGGGTGGTATTGGTGGTGATAGTGTGATAGTCTGGGGTGGTATTGGTGGTGATAGTGTGATGGTCTAGGGTGGTATTGGTGGTGATAGTGTGATGGTCTAGGGTGGTGTTTGTGGTGATAGTGTGATGGTTTGGGGTGGTATTGGTGGTGATAGTGTGATAGTCTGGGGTGGTATTGGTGGTGATAGTGTGATGGTCTAGGGTGGTATTGGTGGTGATAGTGTGATGGTCTAGGGTGGTGTTTGTGGTGATAGTGTGATGGTTTGGGGTGGTATTGGTGGTGATAGTGTGATAGTCTGGGGTGGTATTGGTGGTGATAGTGTGATGGTCTAGGGTGGTATTGGTGGTGATAGTGTGATGGTCTAGGGTGGTGTTTGTGGTGATAGTGTGATGGTTTGGGGTGGTATTGGTGGTGATAGTGTGATAGTCTGGGGTGGTATTGGTGGTGATAGTGTGATGGTCTGGGGTGGTATTGGTGGTGATAGTGTGATGGTCTGGGGTGGTATTGGTGGTGATAGTGTGATGGTCTGGGGTGGTATTGGTGGTGATAGTGTGATGGTCTGGGGTGGTATTGGTGGTGATAGTGTGATGGTCTGGGGTGGTATTGGTGGTGATAGTGTGATGGTCTGGGGTGGTATTGGTGGTGATAGTGTGATGGTCTGGGGTGGTATTGGTGGTGATAGTGTGATGGTCTGGGGTGGTATTGGTGGTGATAGTGTGATGGTCTGGGGTGGTATTGGTGGTGATAGTGTGATGGTCTGGGGTGGTATTGGTGGTGATAGTGTGATGGTCTGGGGTGGTATTGGTGGTGATAGTGTGATGGTCTGGGGTGGTATTGGTGGTGATAGTGTGATGGTCTGGGGTGGTATTAGTGGTGAAAGTGTGATGGTCTGGGGTGGTATTGGTGGTGATAGTGTGATGGTCTGGGGTGGTATTGGTGGTGATAGTGTGATGGTCTGGGGTGGTATTGGTGGTGATAGTGTGATGGTCTGGGGTGGTATTGGTGGTGATAGTGTGATGGTCTGGGGTGGTATTGGTGGTGATAGTGTGATGGTCTGGGGTGGTATTGGTGGTGATAGTGTGATGGTCTGGGGTGGTATTGGTGGTGATAGTGTGATGGTCTGGGGTGGTATTGGTGGTGATAGTGTGATGGTCTGGGGTGGTATTGGTGGTGATAGTGTGATGGTCTGGGGTGGTATTGGTGGTGATAGTGTGATGGTCTGGGGTGGTATTGGTGGTGATAGTGTGATGGTCTGGGGTGGTATTGGTGGTGATAGTGTGATGGTCTGGGGTGGTATTGGTGGTGATAGTGTGATGGTCTGGGGTGGTATTGGTGGTGATAGTGTGATGGTCTGGGGTGGTATTGGTGGTGATAGTGTGATGGTCTGGGGTGGTATTGGTGGTGATAGTGTGATGGTCTGGGGTGGTATTGGTGGTGATAGTGTGATGGTCTGGGGTGGTATTGGTGGTGATAGTGTGATGGTCTGGGGTGGTATTGGTGGTGATAGTGTGATGGTCTGGGGTGGTATTGGTGGTGATAGTGTGATGGTCTGGGGTGGTATTGGTGGTGATAGTGTGATGGTCTGGGGTGGTATTGGTGGTGATAGTGTGATGGTCTGGGGTGGTATTGGTGGTGATAGTGTGATGGTCTGGGGTGGTATTAGTGGTGATAGTGTGATGGTCTGGGGTGGTATTGGTGGTGATAGTGTGATGGTCTGGGGTGGTATTGGTGGTGATAGTGTGATGGTCTGGGGTGGTATTGGTGGTGATAGTGTGATGGTCTGGGGTGGTATTGGTGGTGATAGTGTGATGGTCTGGGGTGGTATTGGTGGTGATAGTGTGATGGTCTGGGGTGGTATTGGTGGTGATAGTGTGATGGTCTGGGGTGGTATTGGTGGTGATAGTGTGATGGTCTGGGGTGGTATTGGTGGTGATAGTGTGATGGTCTGGGGTGGTATTGGTGGTGATAGTGTGATGGTCTGGGGTGGTATTGGTGGTGATAGTGTGATGGTCTGGGGTGGTATTGGTGGTGATAGTGTGATGGTCTGGGGTGGTATTGGTGGTGATAGTGTGATGGTCTGGGGTGGTATTGGTGGTGATAGTGTGATGGTCTGGGGTGGTATTGGTGGTGATAGTGTGATGGTCTGGGGTGGTATTGGTGGTGATAGTGTGATGGTCTGGGGTGGTATTGGTGGTGATAGTGTGATGGTCTGGGGTAGTATTGGTGGTGATAGTGTGATGGTCTGGGGTGGTATTGGTGGTGATAGTGTGATGGTCTGGGGTGGTATTGGTGGTGATAGTGTGATGGTCTGGGGTGGTATTGGTGGTGATAGTGTGATGGTCTGGGGTGGTATTGGTGGTGATAGTGTGATGGTTTGGGGTGGTATTGGTGGTGATAGTGTGATGGTTTGGGGTGGTATTGGTGGTGATAGTGTGATAGTCTGGGTTGGTATTGGTGGTGATAGTGTGATGGTCTAGGTGGTGTTTGTGGTGATAGTGTGATGGTCTAGGTTGGTATTGGTGGTGATAGTGTGATGGTGTGATAGTCTAGGGTGGTATTTGTAGTGATAGTGTGATGGTCTGGGGTGGTATTGGTGGTGATAGTGTAATAGTCTGGGATGGTATTGGTGGTGATGGTGTGATGGTCTAGGGTGGTATTGGTGGTGATAGTGTGATGGTCTGGGGTGGTATTGGTGGTGATGGTGTGATGGTCTAGGGTGTGATGTCTGGGGTGGTATTGGTGGTGATAGTGTGATGGTTTGGGGTGGTATTTGTGGTGATGGTGTGATGGTTTAGGGTGGTATTGGTTGTGATGGTGTGATGGTCTAGGGTGGTGTTTGTGGTGATAGTGTGATGGTCTGGGGTGGTATTGGTGGTGATGGTGTGATGGTCTAGGGGGATGTTTGTGGTGATGGTGTGATGGTCTAGGGTGATGTTTGTGGTGATAGTGTGATGGTCTAGGTTGGTATTGGTGGTGATGGTGTGATGGTGTGATAGTCTAGGGTGGTATTTGTAGTGATAGTGTGATGGTCTGGGGTGGTATTAGTGGTGAAAGTGTGATGGTCTGGGGTGGTATTGGTGGGGATAGTGTGATGGTTTGGGGTGGTATTTGTGGTGATGGTGTGATGGTTTAGGGTGGTATTGGTTGTGATGGTGTGATGGTCTAGGGTGGTGTTTGTGGCGATGGTGTGATGGTCTAGGGTGGTGTTTGTTGTGATGGTGTGATGGTCTAGGGTGGTATTGGTGATGATGGTGTGATGGTCTAGGGTGGTGTTTGTGGGGATAGTGTGATGGTCTAGGGTGGTGTTTGTGGTGATAGGGTGATGGACTGGGGTGGAATTGGTGGTGATAGTGTGATGGTTTGGGGTGGTGTTGGTGGTGATGGTGTGATGGTCTAGGGTGGAGTTTGTGGTGATAGTGTGATGGTCTGGGGTTGTATTGGTGGTGATAGTGTGATGGTTTGGGGGGGGATTTGTGGTGATGGTGTGATGGTTTAGGGTGGTTTTGGTTGTGATGGTGTGATGGTCTAGGGTGGTGTTTGTGGTGATGGTGTGATGGTCTGGGGTGGTATTGGTGGTAATAGTGTGATGGTTTGGGGTGGTATTGGTGGTAATAGTGTGATGGTCTGGGGGGGTATTGGTGGTAATAGTGTGATGGTTTGGGGTGGTATTGGTGGTAATAGTGTGATGGTCTGGGGGGGTATTGGTGGTGATAGTGTGATGGTTTGGGGGGGTATTTGTGGTGATGGTGTGATGGTTTAGGGTGGTACTGGTTGTGATGGTGTGATGGTCTAGGGTGGGGTTTGTGGTGATGGTGTGATGGTCTAGGGTGATGTTTGTGGTGATAGTGTGATGGTCTAGGGTGGTGTTTGTGGTGATGGTGTGATGGTCTAGGGTGGTATTTGTGGTGATAGTGTGATGGTCTAGGGTGGTATTGGTGGTGATAGTGTGATGGTCTAGGGGGGTATTGGCGGTGATAGTGTGATGGTCTGGGGTGGTATTGGTGGTGATAGTGTGATAGTCTGGGGTTGTATTGGTGGGGATGGTGTGATGGTCTAGGGTGGTATTGGTGGTGATGGTGTGATCGACTAGGGTGGTATTGGTAGTGATAGTGTGATGCCTGGGGTGGTATTGGTGGTGATAGTGTGATGTCTGGGGTGGTATTGGTGTTGATAGTGTGATAGTGTGATGGTCTGGGTGGTATTGGTGGTGGTTACTGTATCAAACTTGTTGTAGTTCCTGGGATCTGAAATGTGGAGCACTATCGAGGAGAAATTTTGATGGCAATGGTACTCTCCTTTTTACAACATCAGATTATGACTTACCTTTTGACTGGCCAGTGGGTGTGTCAGTTTGAGAGTTACTTACCTTGGGACTGGCAAACGGGTGTGTCAGTTTGAGAGTTACTTACCTTGGGACTGGCCAGTGGGTGTGTCAGTTTGAGAGTGACTTACCTTTGGGCTGGCCAATGGGTGTGTCAGTTTGTGGGTAACTTACCTTGGGGCTGGCCAATGGGTGTGTCAGTTTGAGGGTCTGAGACATGAAGGTGTCTAGAGAGAGGGTTTGGTCCTCCCCAACAGACTTTAGGAAACTGATAGTGATGTCTAGCTTGTCCAGACAGTCACAGATGTCAGGCAGACTCCGTAACTCCTGGCAGATCTGGTGTCGCACCGCAGACCCCAGCTGTATCTGATACGCATAAGAGTAACAAAGTGAGAGAAATACAGCCATGTATTGACACCTTTATTATAACACTGGTGAGCCATCAGACAAACATTGAAACAACAAATTGTATCAGAAACTCACACATGTATACACTGGTCATTACATGATGAAATTCTATAAGATGAAATGAAGGAAATTACAGTAGTCTAATCTGGTGATGCTGTATATGATATGCTTATAAGCCACAGTGAATAGTTATCAAATACCATACCTGAGAAATACATCCATGAGGTACATTTATTACAGTCATTCCTGCCATTGTTTCAGGAGACAGATGACAATTTTGTTTTTATAAATTCAAAAGTTTTTCAAGGTTTTAAATATATTTTTATTTCTGTCCACAATGTTATAAAGTATAGTATTTTTAATGAAAAGAGATTTTGTTTGCATGGTTTATGACAAATTGTCATCCAAAAATATTCAAACAAAATTTAAATGTGACTTCTGCAGGCATATGATTTGTTTACTTTATGGTCATGTTTGTATTACTACTCATTTCGGTTTATAGTCTGATAAACTGAAATGCAATTTCCTTGGTTCATATAGTGGCACTGCACCGCAAATGTAAATATTCAAACTGAAGGGGAAGGATACTAAACATTTATTGCCATGTTCGCCCTATTTGGCACTGCCCCTCTGCCTCCAGAGAGGCCACACCCTTGGTTTATATAAAATTGAGTTCTCTTTGCTCAAGGATGCTCGAGACCAAATTTGGTTAAAATCCCTCAAATCAAACTGAAGGAGAAGGATACTAAATATATTACTATGTTCCCCCTATTGGGCCCTGCCCTTCTGTACCTCGGGAGACCACACCCGTCTGTTTATACAAAAATGAGTCCCCTTAACCCAATGGTGCTCCAGGCCAAATTTAGTCAAACTCCACTGAGATGTTTAGGACAAGTAGCGGCATAATCTCACAAGTCCTTTGGACCAGGTGTTAACTCACCTGTTTCTTTTGTTTCATACTGACATAGGTAACTTTAGACCAAATTTGGTAACTAGAACACATTACATTTCAACATCTCTTCAACGGTTCTTAAGAAATTGCTGTTTGAAATTTGTGAAATTTTAACTTTAAAGCTTTTAACCCAAGTTGACCTTTGAATCCAGCTAGCAATTAAAGTTGACCTTTGACCTCATCACTGTAATAAAGAAAACAATTCACACAGCTTGTCTACATAACATAGACCAAATGGTTCTTAGATACTGTTGTTTGAAGTTTTTAACATATTTGACCCCTGTGACCTCGAAACTAGGTCAAGGTCATTTTAATGAGGATATTTTATAGCACTTCATCCTAGGTACCTACTGGCAAAATATCATGACCCTGGGCGTTATGGAACTTGAGAAGAAGATTGTTAAATCTTTTAACCCATGTTGACCTTTGACCCCTGACTAGCACTTAAAGTTGACCTTTGACCTCATTACTGTGCGAAAGAAAAAGATTCGCACTGCTAGTCTCCATAACATACCTATGTATCATGAATCTAGTCCAAATGGTTCTTAGGATATTGCTGTTTGAAATTTTTACAATATTTGACCCCTGTGACATTAAAAGTAGATCAAGGTCATTTTAATGAGAAAACTTTATAGCACTCTATCCCAGGTACCTACTGGCCAAATATCATGACCCTAGGCCTTATGGAACTTGAGAAGATTGTTGTTAAAGCTTTTGACCCATGTTGACCTTCAACCCCTTACTAACACAAGGTCAACACAATAAATCCAAAATATTTCAAAAATACTTGTATATATTCCCGACATGTTGCTAAATGTAAAAGATAACTTTTGTTGCCAGAAGCGCCCATCGAACACTATACTATTAAAGTTGCCCACACCAAGAGACTTTATCAGAGATGAAAATCCATGAAATGTGTCTCACATTCTGAGATCTGGCTGGTTTGCATCTCTCTAGGTCTTTGGTATAAGAAGAAGTATTTAGAAGGTTTAAACAGATTTGACCCTGTGACTTTGAAAATTAATTGAGTTAAATAAATTTGAGCAAAAATCATATCCTTTCATCCTTCAAGGCTACTGGCCAAATATCATCACCTGATAATATGTAGTTAATGATTACTCGGAAGAGGTCATTTAAAATAAGAAGTTGACGCTGGACAGATCGACAAGACAGATGGATGACAGATGCTGCACTACTGGGCCAGATAGGTGAGCTAACAAGTACTTTGAAGTAATAGAAATATCCAAACCTGCGGTATTTTTTCTCTCAAAGTTTTGAAAACAACTGCATTGGTGACCTCTGACCTGTAGGTCATCACATCAATCTGTAAAATTAAAAACAATATACATACCATTGGTCTTATTCCTCTGCTTTATCATGGAAAGGAATTTTATTTTTATCATTAACTTTATAGAAATACCTTATCATTAAACTAAATTAAGCTAATTAACACTTACCCTTTGCATTTATGGTCGAAATGGAAATTGTATTTAATATTGAGTGATGACAATAGGTGCATTTTTTTTTATAAAAGTCTGTTGACAATATTATCAGCTGTTGTCCATATCTAATAGGATCTAAGCAGAAATTGTTACCAATGTCCCCCGATTTATAGGTATTATGTAAATTGGCCTAACTTAACAAATGGGCATTAATGCATAGTCCAATCAGAGGACATTTGGAAAACATTTTTAATCTCAAAACTTGAAGGTCTGAGTTGTTCAATATAAAGTATATCCCTAATATATGATTCCCAATCAGCATCAACATCAGCCCCATAGAACATGAGTTGCAATTGTTTCAGCCAATCAAAGGCCATGGTAGCAAAGGTGAATCCAAGCAAGAGGCTCAGAGGGCATGTATCACTCACCTGGATATTTCAGCAGTCTTGGCAAAATATTTTCATTAAATATTACACTGCAACCAAATATTGGCTCCGTCTCTCAGCAACACCTTTACCTTACTGGTTCCCATATGCATCCCTCTCTCCCAATTGAGGAGGAGGAGGAGAGGGGTACCCATATCCATGGTTTATGCATTGAATACTATTGGTTAAAGGATTCTCTTTATCAAATTTGGTTTAGATCCCTTCTTAGAATAATTTGATATGTAATGATAAATTATAGTTTATATATAACTGTGTAAGCCTTCCATTGCCTTGGCTGTTGTAGATGTGATAGTTTGTTGTTATGTTTGCAATATCAAGTGTTAAGATATAAGGGTTTTCCCTTATGTTCATTTTTGTAATACCTTCTTTTACTGCATTATGGAATGTGTTCTTCTGTGAAGAGCGATAGTGTTTACCTATGCAAATGAGATGTCTTACCATATAAGGTATCGTAGTATATGTTAATTAGTCCATAGTAACTTTTGACCAATCAGCGATTACGTCTTGGAGGGGTGTTGGTATTGCCAGCTTCAGTTTCATTCCTCGTAGTGCTGGCAGATTACACTTGTTCGTTTTTG